GATGCCTATATACAAATGTGAGAAGTATGGGTAATAAGCAGGAAGAACTGGAATTGCTAACCAATAAATACAACTATGATATCATTGGTATTACAGAAACCTGGTGGGATGGGACGCATGATTGGAATGTTGGTATGGAAGGGTACGGCTTGCTCAGGAAGGACAGACAGGGAAAAAAGGGAGGAGGGGTTGCCTTGTATATTAAAAATGTACACACTTGGACTGAAGTGGAGATGAACATAGGAGATAGCTGTGTAGAGAGTCTCTGGGTTAAGCTAAAAGGGGTAAAAAACGAGGGTGATATCATGCTAGGAGTCTACTACAGGCCACCTAGCCAGGTGGAAGAGGTGGATGAGGCCTTTTTTAAACAATTAACAAAACTATCTAAAGCCCAAGATTTGGTGGTGATGGGGGACTTCAACTATCCAGACATATGTTGGGAAACTAACACAGCGAGGCACAGGCTATCCAATAAGTTTCTGGACTGCATTGGAGACAACTTTCTGTTTCAGAAGGTTGAAAAAGCTACCAGAGGAGAAGCTGTTCTGGATTTGGTTTTAACAAATAGGGAGGAACTAGTTGAGAACTTGAAAGTGGAAGACAGTATAGGGGACAGTGATCACGAAATAATAGAGTTCATGATCTTAAGGAAAGGTAGAAGGGAGACCAGCACAATTGAGGTAATGGATTTCAGGAAGGCAGATTTTGATAAGCTCAGAGAACTTGTAGGTAAGGTCCCATGGGTAGGTAAGATCCCTCAAGGCAGGACCAAGCTCCACCTACACCATCCCTGACAGATGTCTATCTAACCTGTTCTTAAATATCTCCAGAGAGGGAGATTCCACCACCTCCCTTGGCAATTTATTCCAATATTTGACCACCCTGACAGTTAGGAATTTTTTCCTAATGTTCAATCTTGGTCACCTTAGTGGAAGGAGAAAAAATTCCTCTCTAGCATTGTTATTTTGCTTGCATCTGCATGCTTCAGGGATTAACGAGCAAGATTTTTTTTTACTAAAATTATTTGCAATAGAACGCTGACTGACATATTTCTGCCTTCTGTTTCTCCTTTCAAATTAACAAATAAAAACTGAGTGATTCTTATTTTAAAATGGCCTGCTCAGTATGAGCATTGATTTTTTTAAAAAATCTTCATAGAATAGCGCATATACAGTAAAAGCTCTGTTCTCCAGCACGTTGGGGGAATGGGGAGTGCTAGTTAATTGAATATTTTAGTTAAGTGAGAGGTGTACTTTACCAATGGAATACCAGTTTTCAAAGAATTAGAAAAAAGCAAAATGTATAAAGTATAAAAAAATACACAGGTACTCACCAGTTCAGTAGTAGTACTGGTCTGCAGAGTGGCTGGTTTCTTGAAGCCCTTAGGTGTATGCAGGTAAAGTTTCCTATATAGTAGGTTATCATTTGAAGCAACATATCACTCATGGCAGCACTTGGTGTACACTCAGATTACTAAAAATACACTTATACTAAAATTATATTGAACATAATTTAATTTTTCTTTGAATCAGAAAGTACTTCAGGGTCTAAACAGTGTAGATGTAGGTGGTGTAGGAGATTGGATTGAATCTGTAATGACCCTATGAGACAGCCTGGAAACTGCTTTTTTGAATAAATCCCTAATTTCAGCTTGGTTATCTTGTGCTTCTTTTGCATAAAAGGTAGGGTGCAGAATGTGAAATTCTATAATGTGCTAGAATATAATCCAGTATATTAGTCCTGGATACTAGATTGAAGATTTGTATTAGGAGAGGTCAGAAATGCCAGTTAATTGAGCTTCCTGGTTAACTGAGTGCTGGATAACAAAAGCTTTTAAGGTCTACACAAGACACGTGGCCAGATGCTTGGCTGGTCATGCATAGAATCATAGAATAATAGGACTGGAAGAGACCTCAAGAGGTCATCGAGTCCAGCCCCCCGCCCTCAAGGCAGGACCAAGCTCCGTCTACACCATCCCTGACAGATGTCTATCTAACCTGTTCTTAAATATCTCCAGAGAGGGAGATTCCACCACCTCCCTTGGCAATTTATTCCAATCTTTGACCACCTTGACAGTTAGGAATTTTTTTCCTTAAGTCCAATCTAAACCTCCCCTGCTGTACTTTAAGCCCATTCCTCCTTGTCCTGTCCTCAGAAACCAAGAGGAACAAATTTTCTCCTTCCTCCTTGTGACACCCTTTTAGATATTTGAAAACCGCTATCATGTCCCCCCTTAATCTTCTTTTTTCCAAACTAAACAAGCCCAGTTCGTGAAGCCTGGCTTCATAGGTCATGTTCTCTAAACCTTTAATCATTCTTGTCGCTCTTCTCTGTACCCTTTCCAATTTCTCCACATCTTTCTTGAAATGTGGCGCCCAGAACTGGACACAGTACTCCAGCTGAGGCCTAACTAGTGCAGAGTAGAGCGGCAGAATGACTTCACGAGTTTTGCTTACAACACCCCTGTTGATACAACCTAGAATCATATTTGCTTTTTTTGCAACAGCATCACACTGTTGACTCATATTCAACCTGTGGTCCACTATGACCCCTAGATCCCTTTCCGCCATGCTCCTTCCTAGACAGTCGCTTCCCATCTTGTATGTATGGAACTGATTGTTCCTTCCTAAGTGGAGCACTTTGCATTTCTCTTTATTAAACCTCATCCTGTTTACCTCTGACCATTTCTCTAACTTGCTAAGGTCATTTTGAATTATGTCCCTATCCTCCAAAGAAGTCGTAACCCCACCCAGTTTGGTATCATCTGCAAACTTAATAAGCGTACTCTCTATCCCAATATCTACATCATTGATGAAGATATTGAACAGTACGGGTCCCAAAACAGACCCTTGAGGAACTCCACTTGTTATCCCTTTCCAGCAGGATTTAGCACCGTTAACAACAACTCTCTGACTACGGTTATCCAGCCAATTATGCACCCACCTTATCGTGGCCCTATCTAAGTTATATTTGCCCAGTTTATCAATAAGAATATCATGCGAGACCGTATCAAATGCCTTACTAAAGTCTAGGTATATGACATCCACCCCTTCTCCCTTATCCACAAGGCTCGTTATCTTATCAAAGAAAGCTATCAGATTAGTTTGGCATGACTTGTTCTTCACAAACCCATGCTGGCTATTCCCTATCACTTTATTACCTTCCAAGTGTTTGCATATGATTTCCTTAATTACCTGCTCCATTATCTTCCCTGGGACAGACTTTAAACTGACCGGTCTGTAGTTTCCTGGATTGTTCTTATTCCCCTTTTTATAGATGGGCACAATATTTGCCCTTTTCCAGTCTTCTGGAATCTCCCCTGTCTGCCATGATTTTTACCATGCAGTTGTGTTGTAGAATAGAAAGCTACTAAACATAGAGCACAGGTACTGACCAGTATTTATCCTTTCCTTCCATGTGTGCTGTTGTCACTTTGCCTTTCATTCTACACTGATATGTGTGCAATCCTGAGGTTTGTTGGGAAAAGTATGATTTTGGTCCTGGGAGTTAGCTGGCACTTGTGGCATAAGATTAGTCAGTGAAAATTGACAATTACCAAGAAAATTCAGCTAGTCCTTTTCCAGAAGGGTGGTGATACTGTTCTTGGGGGGGATCTGGAAAATGAGGGTGTAAATTGGAGGAGGGAGAGCTAACCAGATAATTTGAAAGGTGTGTTCGTATTCAGTATGTGAATGAACCTGCTGTATTAAACATCTGCCTGGTTTTAGTCCCTTGGATTGCCTTCTTTGATACTATAATAACCATTTTAAAAATTTCACTATTTTTAATTCAGCCACTCTTATTTATGGCATACAAGGAGTTAAGCAAGACCATTTCTTTCATTATCATGCTACACTGGGCTCACAGCAGTATTTTTATAGCTACTGTAGTTAGGGTTTCCTGATGTTCATTATATTCAGCAATTCATAACTTTGCCATGAATTTGCTTCAAGGGAAAACATTATTTTTGATTCCCTTTTACCTCTCTCTTTATATTTGTACAGAATATTCAAGGTGGCTTATTCTTTATTAAGAATATATGCCCTTTGATATTATGGGACTGTAGTTATTTGTAAACAAAGCCAAGATTTTATCTTTAATTCTTACAAATCAGAATACATTTCACAATGGGTTTTTAAAAGGAACATTCTTCTTAATGTCTGACAGTTTTTATCCAAGTATCAGTAGTAATATTTTTTGTTTATACTCTGAGCCCCAAGCCACTGAATTAAGCTTTGCAGTAACTTACTGAATATTATTCTCTTGTCAGAGGATTTTTGTAACACCATATGTCAGTTGGTCTATGTTGTACGTCTAGTTCCATTTAAAAAAAGAGTTGAAAGAAAAAGGCTCCCTTGGGCAACATCAGACATAAATGAAGCTCAGAACATTACTCTAATCCAGAAGGAAAGATGCTCTGTGGACTTGTGCATAGACTGCCTATAAGTATCTGGCCTTATCAAAGCATACCAGCTAGATCTGTTCGATGTCATGTTCCTGCACTCTGGGTTGCTGTGTCTTGGAGCTCAGGAAATTAGTGGATTATACAGAGCTTTTATCTAAACAGATTTTATAGAATTTGGAGTAACATGCAATTCATTACCAAACTAGAAATGGCAATTGTGGTGTAAGGGCACCCTACACTCAGCCCATCTTGACTTTCCCTTCTTATCTAGGCCTCGCTTTTCACTTCTGCTAGCATGAAAGGGCTTGATCACAAACACAAGTGTTGTGTGACAGCCTTGTGACTCAAGCATATTATATTTTCTTTAATACTAACAAATACGTAGAACTTTTATTTGTCAGTGTAGGCAATTGTGTATATTCACATTGTGACAATGTTTGGTACGTTCTGATTGCTAGGCAGTCGTGCGTTTCTCTTGCCCTGGTTTGAGTTGCTGAGGAAACTGTAAAAAGTTGACACTTGGGAATCTTGAGACTCTCTTGAACAGTCTGTGACTGACTTGTGAGCATAACAAGGAGCTTGTTTTTGTTCGCAGGTACTCAGAAAGAAGCCTCACGAAGTGCGTTGGGATCACCATAGAGACCAGGCCGGATTACTGCCTGAAGCGGCACCTGAGCGACATGCTGTCATACGGCTGCACAAGGCTGGAAATTGGAGTGCAAAGTGTCTATGAGGATGTGGCCAGAGATACCAACAGGTGAGAAGAATGTTTCAATGAAGAGCTTAATGTGCTTTTGTTTGTCTTGTGGAGTATTCTATAAGATGGCTGGAAACTAGGGATGTTAAATTGTGTTTAATCAGCTAATTTCCATTAACTACTCGATTAGTCGATAAGGGGGGGGAACTGCAGAGCTGCAGCGGGGTTAGCTCCGGCTCCAGGAGATAACTCCTCTGTGGCTCTACTTTTTAAATGTATTAAGAGATGCCAAGCTTTTAATACATTTAAAAAGCAGAGGTGCAGCATCAGGGGCCGGGTGCAAGCCAAGAATCAGTTGATTCAAGGCTCGCACCCGGTCCCCCTGCTATGTCTCTGCCCCCTCCAACCCCTCTCAAGAGATGGTGCTAAGGGAACTGGCTTTTGTGGTGGGGGAGGGAAGCAACTAGTTGAGTAGTGACTCGACTACCTGATAAGCATATCCCTACTGGAAACACATCCTTCAGAATACCAGCATAATTCAGTATAACTTTATAAAATCATAGAATACTAGAACTGGAAGGGACCTCAAGATGTCAGCCCCCTGCCTTCATTGCAGGACCAAACACCATCTAGATCAGGGCTACTCAACTTTGGAAGGCCCAGGGTCCACAATGATTTTCACAGCACATGCTGAGGGCCACAACTTAATTGTGGTTGCATATACGTGCAAATATATATGCAAATAGCTTCTTTCACACTGATGGGCATGAATACAAAGATTAAGGCAAGAGTAGCAGGTTTTATGTCCCTCAGGGGTCTCATATTTTAATTTTTTATATATATTGTGTTTTAAATTTTGTAAGCTGCCTCGAATATTTTAAATAGAGAGGTGGGGTAAAAACATTTTAAATAAATAAATACACAACACAAAGGCCCCATGTAAGTCAGTTCTGCTGATATTAATAATATATACCTGATTTCCACCTCTGACAGCACTTTTAATAAGCAAAGACAGTCCAGGAATTTAACTACTAAAACACACATCAATAGAAGACCATTATATTGACTACTTTTTTGTTTTGGCTCCTACCCCTGGGTCATGTGTTGAGCCCCATGTAAACCCAATCCGCACCATGGGCCGCAAACAATTCCTGATAAATGTCTATCTAACCTGCTCTTAAATATCTCTGATGATGGTGTTTCCACAACCTCCCTGGGCAATTTCCACAACCTCCCAGGGTATTTAACCATCCTGAAATTTAGGAAGTTTTTCCTAATGTTCAACCTAAACTTCACTTGCTGCAATTTAAGCCCATTGCTTCTTGTCCTGTTATCAGGGGTGAAGGAGAAAGTTTCTCCCTCCTCCTTGTAGCACCCTTTTAGGTGCTCGAAAACTGCTATCAGTGTCACACTGTTGACTCATGTTAAGCTTGTAGTCAACTATGGCCCTTAGATCCCTTTCTGTAGTACTCCTTCCTAGAGTCGCTTCACATTTTGTATTAGTGAAACGGATGTTCTTTTGTAAGCGGAGTACTTTGCATTTGTCCTTATTGAATTTCATCCTATTTACCTCAGACCATTTCTCTAGTTTTTTCAGATCATTTTGAATTATGACCCTGCCCTCCAAAGCACTTGCAACCCCTCCCAGCTTGGCATCATCTGCAAGCTTTATAAGCGTACTTTCTGTGTCCTTATCTAAATGATTGATGGAAGATACTGAATGTTGATGAAGATATTGATATTATGCTGACATTCCTGTTCCAAAAGTGTTTTATAGTTCTTGGTACTGTCTTCATAGTCCTGTCTTTTAATCTATGCAGCCTTGTAAAGTAAGTAGGGTGTGCCCAAACAAACTTCAGAATCCTTGATCTGAGAAATGTACTAAATAATCTGTGTTAGAGAAGAAACAGGCGACCCAGGAGTGGATAGGGTAAAAAGAACTACTTTATTACCTACACACGTTTACCTCGGACATTAACACAATGTCCAACTGGCCCCAAATTAGCAGTAGTTAGAACCTTTTATCTATTTTAGTATGTTAATTCATATGTCTATCACTACTTTTCCTAAAACCTTATTTAGTAATGTTAACTTCCATAAAATGAATATTAATAAACAAATAATGAATACAGTTATACTCACCCCTAATTATTATTTATATACTTTCTAATTAAATCAACAATTTCCTATACTACAAACTAACAGGTTACAGAGATTACAAGGAAGTTGACCCTGAAGATGTTATGCAGAGCCAATGAGGATAAGCAAGCGACACAACAAAGTAGAGCAGCTCCATACTTATCTGGTTTCCTAGGCTGCAGAACAGAGATAAAGAGCAAGGTTATATATAAAAAATAATACTGGTCTCAACTGGACCTTATCTTCTCAAATTACAAAACAAAAGGAAAAAGCATGTTTAAGGGTAACACTGTGTCTGAATCCTGAACCACTAATGCAAAAAGACTATTCCAAACCTATTAATGTTTTCACCCCCCAACACTGGAGAGATACCATATGTGCAGGAAGCATGACATTAGGTCATAATATTCATTCAAAGAAGAATCAGGGCACTTCTCACAAGTAGAGTGCAAGGCAGGTACGGGTATGTGTTTATAATTGACACTCATCACAGTGTGTTATATAGCCAGAAATTCTACCTATTGATACTTTAATCAGGATCATTCTACATATCCAGTACTTTCAGAGACTGGAAAGTGTATAGATAAGAAGTTCTTGAACTACTTTGTGGTCCTGGACCAGTGACAACAAAATCACTGCCAGAGAGCCTAGAATACATTACAGTTCGTTGTCTTGTAACCTGCAGAAGGCAGAATGTGCTTTATACTATTTCAGAACTGAACCATTAACTCCAGAACACTTGTGTTTTCTGTGATTCATATAAAACTTACTTTCACCCTTATCAGACACTCCTGTTACTTAATACCTGTAATAAACCAATGGCATAAAATAATTCCAGAGAAATGTTTTGGAAAGAATCAATGGACACAAATCAGATATCCGTAAAGGGAATATACAGAAACCTGTTGGAGAATACTTCAGTCTACCTAATCACTCTTTAAAAGATCTGAAGAAGTGGGCTGTGCCCACGAAAGTTCATGATACCATCTACATGTTTTGTTAGTCTATAAAGTGCTACCATACCTTTTGTTGTTTTTTAAGTTTATCCTGTACAGACTAAGTTGGCTACCCTCTTAAGCTTAAAATAACCTTTCACTTAACTTAGAGGTGACCACTTTGCAGTAATTGAAGATGTCATTTTCTTGTGGAGACTTGACATTTGATTCTGTAGCCAATTTCCTCCCAAAGATTAGTCTGTATTGTGGATGCTTCATGAAGGTACAGCATCTCCTTGCTGGATTTAGGACTAGCTTCAATTCCTGACCAGAGGTAATGGTCAAGAACAACTTGAACCTATTGAGCAAACCAAGCAGTCAGGTAAACTAAGTAACCCTTACGCAGCACTTTTCCAGCTCGGATATCAAAGAGCTTTACAAAGGTAAATAGCAATGTACTAAACAAGTAGCCATGTCACCTGGTTCTTAGCTCGGCTCAGGTACATTAATCCATGGTGAGATCCAGCACATTCTTCAGGCTTATCAAACCTACTTATCTCTCTTTTTCTACATACTTTCACAGCTCTTGTACCCATTCTGAGATGGAACTTTCCAAGTGATAGTCTCACTGTTATCCACCTTTGTAATCTGTTGTTAGTTGCCCTCAAATTTTGTCCATCAGATGAAATGACATTCTTACACTGTCTCTAAATTGCATGTCACTGCTGTTTTGAAAATTTGCCAGTGAAACTGCAAATGGAGTCTCGGTTGCTGGCCCTTGAAGAAGAGGAAGATAGTGGGTAGCTGTCTCTCTTAAGCAGAAGGAATCTTTTTAAAGATTTGATGTTTTTTTTTAAAGGTTTTGACACTTGTGAAGATGCTTGCAATATGCCTAGAAGATTCTGTGCTCTGTTGTAGTCCGCTTATCCAGACATCCCCACCAGCACTTCTGTGTTTTAGAATATCCCTTCAGGACTCTAAAACAATGAATTGAAGTCTGTTTTTTTAATCTGACTGTTTACCCTATTCTCTCCTAAGGTGGCTTTGGTTTACTTCCATTTTTCATTTAGCATGTAGGAGGTTTTTTTTTTTTTATTTAAATGTTCATATTTTGTTTGTAGCTAAATGCCAGATTACAAACAATTAGGGTAAATGTTTGGAAATTATTTTTCCATTATGTAGTGTGAGTCATTAATGGGGCCGTTTACTGAGTATTTCCAATTGCTACGAAGCAGAAGAATATTCAAATACAAGTCCAGGCGTCAAGTAGTTCAGTTATTGATGCAGCTCAAATCCCTCCTCTAATAAGGACATATGTTTTATTTATTTAAATGACTCTCTGTTGCCTCTTCCTAAGTTACTCAAAGTGCCAGATAATTCCACCATAGAACAGATTTATAAAAACATCACAATATTTTACTAATAAAGTAAAACTTCAATAATAAAACCAGTCACAAAAATATAAAGTGTAATCTTATGTAGAGGAGGGGAAAAAAGGCCCTACATTGAAGAGGATCCATTATTTGGTCTTGGGGATACGTTTATTTAGAAGGTAGTTGAAAGTGAGAGGTGGGGCTAAGATGGATTTGTAGATGGAGAGAGTTCCACACTTGACGGGCTGCAATTCATGCAGGTGTGTAGGTTTTTTATACAGTTTTTATTCTTTCCAGGGGACACACAGTGAAGGCCGTGTGTGAGTCATTTCACTTAGCCAAGGATGCAGGATTTAAAGTTGTGGCGCACATGATGCCTGATTTGCCGAACATGGGGCTTGAAAGAGATATTGACCAGTTTGTTGTAAGTATGGCTTAAAATAGACCTCCTTTTGTTTTACCTTAGTGGAGCTAGCATTCGGTCCATTTCATGACTTCGTTAGTGGTTATTTTACAGGCCAAACTTTCTTCTTTAAGAACCTGTACTTCGAAATTTGGGTGAAAAGGAAAGATGAGGAAAACGTGTTGAACTATTTCAGATAGAAAATGTTCTCCCTTCCTTGTGAAAGACTGATTCAATAAGGTCTCTGTGTAAGTTGAAATACAATGTTGTCTTTCCAGTATAAATTAAGGCTTTTGCTTTTTTTTGCAAGGTGGTTTTCTTTCTTTGGATTCTCTGTACATATCAGAGGCAAAGCAGCCTGTCTAGAAAGCAGTTATACAATAGAATGTCTGTACTGAACATATAGAGGTTTTTCTTAGACCCAGTACTTTCAATGTCTTCATTAAAGATTTGAAAGAATATATAAAACTATTGCTGGTGTTAGCAGATAACACAAAAGTTAGCAGAGTAGTAAATAATGATGGAAACAATAGTCTGAATCACATGGAAAGTTGGGTTTATTTGAAAGACATGTTTTAATACAGTCAAATGCAAGATCGTGCATCTAGGCACAAAAAATATTAGGTCATGCTCATAGGATGGGAGAGACTGAATTTTTGCAAAGCTGTGTCTCAAAATACTGACCCTGTGGTCATATTGTATACTGTAGTAATGGTACATGTCACTGCACATGAGCGCACGGGGTGGTATCCTGGCTAAGAGAACAAATGCATTGGCTGTATAGAGGGCAGAACATTGAGTAGACATTTGGACGAGCTACTACAACCACTATTGGCATGCTGTGTCCAGCTGTGGTGTCAACACTATGAAAAGAATGTTGGTGAATTGGAAACGGTTCCGAAAAGAGCTACAAGAAGGATTATGCCATTTGGAAAACTTGCCTTCCAGTGAGAGACTAAAGAAAATCAGTTTAGTTTATCGAGGAGAAGATTAAGAGGTGATTTGATCAGTCTATACATACCTGCTTGCAGAGGAGAGCTTGACAGTGAAGGCATTTTAATTTAGCAGACAGGCATAATAAAATCCAATGTCTAGATAAATGGAAGCTAAAAATAAGCGTGGATTTTAAACAGAGAAAATAATTAAACTTTGGAGCAGTTTACCTAGGGATGTGATAGATTCTTCATCATTTGAATTCTTTAAATCTGGAACAGATGTCTCTTTCTAAAAATGAGGCCCTAGCTCAACCACAATATATGGGGTTGATATTAGGGATATCAACATGTGGACAACTACACAATTAACCAACAAGCCAGGGCTTATCAGTTAATCCTGTCATCTGCACAATACTCCCCCTTGCTGCCTCTGTATCTGAAGCAGCAAGGGTGTGGGGAGGAGGAAGTGGGTGTTGGCGCCTCTAAGGAGTCGGCGCCTCTAAGGAGCCGGCTTTTAAGCCAGTTCCCCATGAGCACTGGATCCCAGGTAGCTGCCTGCCTTCCACACCTCTGCACTGCTGCCTCTGATAGAGAGGCAGCAGCTTGTCATGGCAGGGGTTGCTGGCTGCTGGCTCCTCTCCCGGGGACTATCGAATAGTTGTGTAACTACTAACATTTTATGTGGCTGCATTACTATTCAGCTACATGCTATTTAACATCCATAGTTGATATAAGAATCATTGGGTGAAATTCTGTAGTCTTTCATGCAGGAGGTCAGCACAGATACGATAGTGGTCCCTGCTTGCCATAAAATTAGTTAATTGCTTGGAAGATTCAGGTCAGAAATATAGGTAGAAAGTTGCAAGCAAACCCCATTTAGCCAGAAGTAATCCAAAATGCATTCTTACAGTGTTGGAGAGAAACAAGGGAAATTATTAATATTATTTTATGCTTTTACAGTGTGTTTTGTCTGTGGATCTTTTGAGCACTCTAATAATTTATTCAGTAAGAATTAGCCCTATTTTTAAAGCCGATACACTGTGTATGTCTATGCAGTACATAAAAAACTGTGGGTAGTCTGTGCCAGCTGACTTAGGCTCACAGGGCTTAGGCCTCTGGTGTCCAGTATGCTTGCCGCTAGCAACATGTGTCTCTTTGGCTGGTTGAGTGTAGCTTGTTTGCTATAGCAGTAAACAGACTTTATGGAGCTGCGGGAAACTTGGATACTCCCATGAAAAGTGGACATCTGGTTAACTAAAATCATTCTGGATGATGGAGGTTTCCAGATAAGAGAGTTCTGGATGAGAGAAGTTCAACCTGTACATGTTGTGTCGTGTTGCTAGCAGAAAAAGAGCACAATATTATCACATTTCAACAGCTTGGTTAGTAGAGCAGGTCAAAATAGGGGAGAGAAAAATAAAATAGTATCTTTTATATTTTGATAATTTCAGAATTAATACTACGAACTGATTTGTAAAAGTTTTGGCAGGAACTGTTTCAGTGGAGTGCAAAGGGCACATGCCATATTACAGAGGTTCTAGAATGGAATTGGAGAGTTCCTCTAGATAGAGATTATAGTCAGTATGTCCAATGAGCTTGGACATGAAAGGGAGAAAGGAAATGTGGCTGTAGTTGGAGTGGAAACTGGGACCAAGGGGTGTTTGTATAAAGATGGGAGAAACTAAAGGATGCTTGTATTGGGATGGTTTAAAGAAACTTGGTACATAGGAGATCAGGCGATGAGACGTGCTCTCTAGGGCAAGTGGTGAAAGGGTTAGAGGAGTAGAGCAGCTGAGAAGCTTCTGTGGTGGGGAGGAGGAGAAGAGGAAAAAAGAATGAGTAAAGGGGAGCAGTATAAACAAGTTGTACATTTTGTCAATTTTCTCTTGGAAGAAATTGGCAGCATCTTGTGCAGAGAGAGCAGTGGAAGTGGGAAGTGTTTGTGAAGTGAGTGAAAGGTGGTTGGGATAATGGACGTGGGATTCAGCTAAGATGAAGGAGGACAGATGTTTAGCTAGGAAGGTGGCAGAACTGGAGGAGAATTGAGCACCTCTGTGGTGAAGGAAATCAGTTTGGTCACAGCAATTCCACCAGGCTTCCCATAGCCTGAGAGCAGGAGCAAAAGAAGCAGGAGTTGAGATTGAGTCCTCGGGCTTGGTAGGATGGACCTTGCAAGGGGAAAGGGGGCAGAAAAGTTAAAAGTTCAGGAAAGTGACACATGGAGCGAATCAACAGCCATGAGGCCTGATGAACTGGAAGTCATAGCAAGGTCAAGTAACAGGAAGTTTGGGAGAGGCATCGAGAACCACCTAAAAAAGATCCTTGTTTCATTTTCTTGTAAGGTGCGTAGATGCTGCAGTATTATGTACTATAAATATCTAGAAAGATGAAAATCCCCTTGCAGTTACAATTGGATATAACGTTCCTTGCTTCCTGCTTTGCAGAGCTATTAAAAAGCTGCTGTGCTATATAAATGTTGTTCCATATTAGTGAATATTTAGTCATTTATATTGCATTGAAATAATGAGCTTGAAAGTGAAGAGCTCAGCACAGAGCATTCTAATTAATCTGTTAATGTCTTAGCAACATTACCAAGCAGATCAATAACAGAATCAGTCATTTTGCCCCTTTACACGTGGTTTAAAGGAGATAGCATCACAAAAATTTATCATCAAAGCCTGTTATAAAATATCACTAACTGTGCAGAATAAAGACACATCTGTCCTGCAATACTGTTTATAGTCTCAGAGACAGACATTTCTAATTTTTGGTAGCTCTAAATAAATCAGAGGGGGCAGCAGTGTTAGTCTGCATCTGAAAAAGCAATGAGGTGTCTTGTGACACCTTAAAGACTAACAGGTTTAGTTGGGCATCACCTTTCCTGGGCAAAGACCCAATTTGCATCTGATGAAGTCAAAAGCTTATGCCAGCGTTTCCCAAACTATGGTCCGCAGCCCGATACCGGGCTGCGGGAAAAAAAATGCCGGGCCTCAGCGTGCCTGGTGGCTGCCGGCCCTTAGGCCGATTCCACCCATTGGGTCGAATCGGGCCCCGCACCCCTGCACCCGGAAGTGCTGGCGAGTTAAGAGCTGGGGCCCTGCTCCAGCGCTATGTGGAGCTGGGTCTCTCTCTGGCTCTGCCTGGAGCGGGCAGCCCTGGACATCCCTGCCGCGCGTGGCTCCTCCTCGCCACCTGCCGCCTGTGCGCAGCATTGCACGTGGGCGGGGAGGACGCCTGGGCGTGACGTGACGTCACGGCCTGGGGTTTTGAAACCCACGGGAGGCACATGGCGGGGACTGGCTGGCTCCGGGTTCGGCCTCTGGGGCCTGAGCACGGACCCGGCCCCGCAACGTGCAAGGAGAAGGTGGGAACCGGCTCGTGTGGCGGCAGCGAGGAAAGGAGAGGGGATGGGGAAAGGGGTGGAAGGAGAAGGGGCTTGGGAGGGGAAGGCACCAAGGGCCAGGAGTGCGGGGGAGAGAGACAAATGCCAGGGGGCCAAGTGCAGACCATGAGGGAAAGGCAGGAGGGGAGGTGTCAGTGGGAAGGGGGACAGGGTGATGCTGGGAGAGGAGAGGGGAGGGG